AAAGGTGATCGACTGCCCGCGGCCAAGCCCGCACGATGGCTGGCCTGATCTGGGAGTCGGTCGGCCACACACCCAGCCATTGCCACAAACACTGCCGCGGCAGCCGCACTCCAAGATCATGACCTGGGAGTCTGAGCGCCAGCAGCGTCGTGAGACACCTGCCACGCCTGGCTGACCCCGCGGCAGCGCCAAGACGACGGCGCTGTGAGTGCAGCACCGAGCCGAACTGCCCATACACGTGGTGCCCGTAGACGGCGGCAGCCTGCGGCCCCGCACGCTGCAGCTTGGCGGACACCGCCCAGCGCCGAGCAGCCTGCGCGTACTTCCGCAGCCGCCCGTGCGTCTTGCTGGACTTGAGCGCCCGTTGCCTGACGGTCGCTCGGCCGTGCCGCCTGCCGCGAGATAAATCCACCCCGAGGTAGGCTGTCTGCAGCACGGCTCGCAGAGTGACGCCCTTCCTCTTGAGAACACGCTCGACCACCTGCGCATCACTGCGGTGCGAGCACAGCACAACACTCTTGTCGGCGATAGCCAACTGCAACTTGGAGAACAGCCTGATGGTAGATAGCACTCCCTTGATGAGCGTGGATCTAACGTGCTGTCTCGAGCCCATGGCCCTCTGAGATAAATCATAAATCCAGATTCGCTCAGATAGTGAAACATGCGCCTGACAGAGACGCTGGCACACGCATGCTGTGAGGCACTTGGCAAACCTCGTGCCGTTCCGCAGCCCTTGCACCACTGAACGAGTCATCTGGAACGGTTCGCTGAAAGAGTCGATCTGCTCCAGCATGCGCGGCGCCAGGCAGATCTGAAGTTCCAGATACACCATGACTGCGGGAAAACCTTTGCGCATGGCACACAAGGTCAATGGTTCCCACTCGATGGAGTCGTAGAATGACGCGATGTCGACCACCGTCTGACCGTGCGGTATGTCCAGGCGTGTGTGGACCTCGTCCCGCAACGCCCGAACGAAAGCCTCCCGCAGGGCGCTGTTCCCCGCGATGGCTGCGCCCCAGTGGTCTGTCTCCGCCTGCAGGGCGGACCACCCCTTCATCTGCACCTCCCTGGCCATGGACCAGACACGGCACAGCATCGCGATCAAGCCGATCACTCTGTCCCCGCCCGACTTCTTGCCTAACAGCTTCCCCGCCACACACATGACCTGCCATGGCCAAGAGAGGCCTTCCTCGATCATGTGGAAGAGGTCGAAGAGGCACTGGATGCCCTCGCCGGGCAGCCTCTCAATGTCGGTCGGAGATAGCCTGTCGATCCCGAGGCCTGCCCGAGCCTTCATGCGAGCTAGAGCCGCACGAACGTCCGCAACGTCCAGCGGGACGAGCTGCTCCACCTCAGCTCTGCTCCTGACCGTACTCATGGTGGCCAGGATCCCATCCCAAGAGGCCACGTCTGAGTGCCACAGCTTGTGATAGCGTAGCACCTTGCGGTCCACAATAGCCATGGGATGAACTCTGACCGATCCATCGCAGTCGTGGAACTCGTCGCGCTCAGGATCTGGGTCCTTAAGCGATCTGAAAACTTGCCCCTGGGAATCAAGACTGCTGAACCACTGCTGAAAATCCTTCAATGACGAGGCCGCGGCACGATTCTGCGCCCTCTTGGACGCTCTGAAAGTCTTCTCCTCCAGCATGCTGAGCTCGTCGACGCCGGGCCCGAGCAAGCGCCTGAGGTCCTGCAAAAGCCCCTGCCAGGAGCCGAAGTGCGCAGGGAATGCTGCGCCTGCTCCGTCGACTGGCTGGTCAGCCAACCTGACGGACGCCGACGCCAGGTAGCCCAGCTGCACGATGCCGTTGCTGCGCCTCCGATGTCGTAACATTCTCTGGACAATATTGTGAATCCTTGACCACCATGTGGATATGCCGTCTCGCAACGGCTCTTGACGAATGTGCTCTGCTTGTCTCACCGACACCACCTGCAGGCCGCAGCCGCCTGCCCTAGACCGCTCGGGGGCTCCGATCTCGCGATGAGATGAGATGGCTAGCTCCGCGGCCTGGACCCATCGCGAGAAGGCCCCGCTGATGGGGAGAACATGCTGTGCACCAGCTTGGAAGGCGAGAGACTGTCGAATAGGACGCCAAACATCGCGATTAGAGTGTGCAGCCCAAGGGACTTGAGCCAAAGCGGCTACCCACGAGGAGGGGGGAATAGAGAAAGACGGAAGAGGAGCAGGAGAGGCAGCGGCACCAGCACGGGCGAGGTGATCGCTGACCCCCTCCAGGGGGCCGTCGCTCCGAGGACGCTCGGCTGGGGGGGACAAACCATTTCCTTCACTCTGAAGTGCTGCTGCATCCCCAGACGCCGCCGACGAAGCCTGCGTCGCCTCGTGCGCGCCGGGGGGGGGGGGGGGGGCTGCTTGGAGGTTCCGAGACTCTAGGTGCGGGCTGAAAAAAAAAGACTCATTGGCCCAGGGGTCCTCCTCATCAGCCTCAAAAAAGCCCCTCGAAGCCTTCGTCCCCTAGAGGATCGACCTGCGACGAAAAGCCCACGGGGCCGCCAGCCGACGGGTCGAGATCACTAGGGTCGGGAGGCTCGGGGGAAGACGCGCTGCCGAAAATGTCTCCATACAGCAACTCACATTCACTAATCAGACGCTCTTTCTTTTTTTCTGAGCTCGCTCGGCCTGCTCGAGCTTCTTCGCGCTCGACTTGGACCCAGCAGTGGGCGCTGCAGACGGCCTGGGCACTTGCGGCAACCTAGGAGCGACAAGCAAAGATCTGCAAAGCAAATGTTCGCCATTGCCTCTTAGCCGTAGCTCAAGCCCAATGCGAGGAGCCCATGGCGTGTCAACTACTGGGGTGATACTGCGAATGTATGGAAGACAACACTCAGAGGCCATGACGAAATCGATGTGACCACTACCTGCGCTCCCGACGCACGTGCGCTCCACATCAGCCCGACGGATCACGCCTCCGACGCGGCGACAAAACGCTGACCTCTGAAACTTTGCAACAGCGATGTTATAATCCCCTATGACGAGCCACGGAAGCTTCACAGAAGACAAGAATGCACCCAACTTGGCAAATCTAGCTGGGTTAATACCCGTGAATTCAACTGACGGGCGTGCGTAAAACAGCACTACAAGCAGCGAGAAGCCACACAGATGCACTAGAACAGGCATGAAGCCATCGAGGGCGTCTGAGCCCTCTGCACAGTAGCTGCTGGCTCCCTCACGCGGCTTGTCAAAAACTCTATGAACTGGAAGGTGACCTCGAGCCAACGTGATCCCCCCGCCCTCGTAGGCGCGCCCCTCCGTCGCCTTCGAGGTGCCTCGACCAGTTGATCTCGCTGGATTGTCAAGGAACTTGAGCTTGGCGCTCCGAGCTCGACGAGCCCACTTGGCCCTGGTGTGGGCCCCGATGTGCGACTCCACCATGCCGATGTACTCGTACTTGGACAGCGTGGCCTCGGAGCTGATGTAGCTCCAGGTCTTGTTGCCCAGCATGGTGACGCTGCTGAAAAAAAAAAAAAAAAAAAAAAAAAAAAAAAAAAAAAAAAAAACATGCACACGGAGGAGTCGACCTCGCTGGTGGACTGCTCCTCCGCGCTCGGCTCGAGCGGCTGGGTGACTGCAGGCGCCGATGGACCCGCAGCCGCCGCGCCGCCTCATTGCGGCGCCTCCGCCTTGCCCGCCTCTGGAGCCACTCCTGCAGCCCCCTCGGCGGCCGCCTTGGCAGCTGCAGTGACTGCCCTGATGCGCTCCATCTCGATCTTGATCTCATCCTCGGACGGCGCGCCAGGCTGAGCCCCTTGGGCTGCTGGCTGGGCCGCAGCAGCGGGTGGCTGCCCTTGGCCCCCGCCGCCTCCAGCGCCGCCTGCCGTGCCCGCGGCGGCGCCGCTGATGCCGCCGTCGATCTTCCTCTTCTTGTCCAAGCGCTCCTTGACCTTCGCCCTGAGGTCGAGCACCTGGGTCTTCCACTTGAGAACCTCGTCGGCTTTGCTGATGACGCTGTCCCTGACCGCCTTCAGCTCAGCCTCGACCTTTTTGAGCTCCGCTCTCTCGCCCTCTGTGCACTCGAGGGTGTCGAGCTGCTTGAAAAACTCCTCATCCCATGTGACGTTCATCATCGGCACCTGCTCGACGTCAGCGCCACCTGCGCCAGCGCCAGAGGTGCTGCCCCCGCCTGCGCCGCCCGCGGTGCGCACGTCCACGCCCGCCTCGCGGGCGAGGGCCACCGCGGCCGTGCGCTTGCTGATCTCAGCAAGGGCCAGAGTGCGGGCCGCCTCCTCCTCCTTCCTCATCGCTACCACCAAGTTCTCCTGGCAACGAGAGACGGCTGCACTCGCTTGCACATGCTTCTGCTTGGCATCCTTCCAAGCGCCCTCTGCTCGCCGAACTGCCTCACTCGGTGGGACTACGGCCGGCTGCTCCGACGCCTGGGCCCCGCGCTCAGCGAACTCGATCTGCTCGGCGAGCACCTTGCGGCTGACTGGGTCGGTCACTCTGGCCATCGCAGCAGACAGCGCCTGGATGGTAGACGTAGTCGCTGCCACTTGTGACCCGACCGACCCTTTGACATTCTGCAAGGACGGCTGAGTTGTCGAGGATGCTGGACCTTTCTTCGGCTTATACAGCTTGACTGGACAATGACACTTGGTGCACTTCCCTGAGTTTGCCACGATCCTCTCATTGTACTCGTAAGTACCACACTTCGCACATGTACTCCAGGCCTTTGCCATGGGCCACGGGCGAAGCCTCGCTTTCGCCTACGCAACTGGCCGTCCGAAGGATGGGACAGAAAGTGCGCAGCCCCCCAAGCACCACGTGGAGGCGCGAGGTTGGGCGTCGGATGCCAAAATGGCGCTCGAGCCCAAGTTGCTTGAGAGGAGGAGGACGGACGGAGGAGGAGGAGGAGGAGGACGGAGGACGGAGGGGGAGGAGGAGGAGGGAGGAGGAGGAGAGGGAGGAGGACGGGGGACGGAGGAGGAGGAGGCGGCGGAGGAGGAGGCGCACAGAGGCCCCCTCTCTGAAGCCCCGCGGCCTCCGCTCCGTCTGCCTCTGCGCGGCCTCCGTTTGCCGCCGCTCGGCCGCCTTGAATTAGGTCGGGCACGTCCTCCTACAGGCGGATTTTGGAAGAAAATCCCCAATAGTCGAAACATACTCCGAGTTTCTTGATAAGCGTCGGGGGGGGGGCGTCACCCCCGCCGAGAGCCCCACATCGACCGCCGTCGCGGGCGGCCACCGCGCACCGAAGGCGCTCCGACACCCGTCGCGGCGCGACGACGAGGCGAGGCTGACCCCCGTCGGGGGGGGGGGGACCCCCCCCAACGCTTATTCAGAACCCCCGAGTAAGCAAAACATACTCAAGACGATTGAAGAAAATCGTCCCCGTACTATTTTTGGACTGTGCTTGAATTTTCCGCGTGTAGAAGGACATGCCCGAATGGTTGAGCAGGGACAGACCGTCCCGGCATCCCTATAGGCCTACCGCGACATGCTCTCAGAGAACCCGAAAATGTTATCATAACAAAAACACTGCTCGCAGAACAGACGGGTCAGGACAAGACGGCCTCAGCCAGACGTGCTCCAAGAACATGCCGCGCAGACCACCAAAGGCTCTTAGCCCACTCTCTAGTAGGCCTACAGGCGAGCCAGGACGCTCCGCCGCTGCTTGCCTCGAAGCCCGCCATCGCGGCGGCGGTGGCGCGGCGCGGCGCGGCGCGGCGCCCGCTGCCCCCTTCGGACTTCGACGGCCCCTTCGGGCTTCGGAGGCCCCATCCCCAACTGGGGTGGCGGGGGGGTGGGGCTGAGATACCGTGGCCCCGTGGGGATGGGCTCGGCTCAAAAATACAATCAAAAACCCTAATAAGGACGCGCGGCAAGGACGCAAGACCCTTGGAAGCCGAAGTTGGGATTCTCGGGGCGGCGGACGACGAAAACCCCGAGGACGCGAGAGCAAGGAAGAGCAAGGACGCAGGGGTACCCTGAGCATAGCCGCGCGCCCGTCTTTAGGGTTTTTGACTGACTTTCCTCCTGCAGAGGGACATGCCCGACGTGAGCCTTGAAGCCCGCCATCGCGGCGGCGGCGGCGGTGGCGCGGAGCGGCGTCCGCGGCCCCCCCCCCCCCCCGGCGCGCGGGGCCCCGCGCGCCGCAGCCCCCCCCCCCCCGCGCGCCTGCTGCGGGGGCGGGCGTCCCGCTGGAGGGTCGGCGGAGGGCGCGGGCGGCCGCGGCGAAGCTGCGCAGACCCTTCTCTGATTCGCGGGTCGAGAGCGCACCTCCTCCGGTCGAAGCTACGCGGGCCGCGCGAAGCTTGAATGAACCAGAGACGGGGGAGGAAAAGGGGGGCGCAGCCTCAGAACGAGGCCGGGAGGAGGAAGCTGCGCAGTCCCCCCGCGTCAGGAGGCAAGACACTGGCCAATGCCTCCCTGGAGGAAGAGGCACAAACTACATGAGACACACCTTTTCGGAGCGCCGCGCGGAGAGTGGTCGGATCTGCGCCGGAGCCCCTCCCTGGCACGCGCCAGGGGGGGCCCAGCGCCGATCCGAAAGGATCGCGCGGAGCTCGGACAATTGCTGAACTCTCATGTCGCAAAAAATCATGACGGGCGGTTCTGCTTTATCGTCGCCCTCTAGCGGCCCTTCCCGGGCCCCGGGACCGTCAAAAACGACTCGGGATGAAGACCCGGCCCTGGGGAGTGGGTTCAGACCTCTTGGGGCCGACGTCATGAACAAATCCCGACGTCGGGGGGTCTGGGCACGCAGATGATAGACAATCAAGAAAATACCCCTAACCATTTGGGAGGGGACCTAGGTCAGGAGACCTAGGGCTAGGGCTAGGAGACCTGTTCTGCAGATGTGACCCCTCATTCGCAGGACCTATCAGTGAGGCCACGTCTTCCTCGTGTTATGAGGGTTAAGGCTCGTTTATTCTCCATGAGCAGGAGGTGTCGAGGCCTAGCCACCGGATCCGGCAAAAGCCATCCTGCCGCGTCGCTGGTGCATCGCCGATGCACCTGGCAATGCACCAGTGACGTCGGCGTGGAGAACATCGCGCTCCACACCGCGGCGCATCGCCTGTGCACCGGCGAGGCGACGCGATCTTGCGACCCCAGCTGCTTCGACCCCAGTTGGGCGGGCCATCCTGTTGCCTAGCATAGTGTATACACCTCTCGAGGGCGCGCAAACATGGATTAGCGATCCAAAGATTGGGTGTGCGGTCGCCGAATCCATGGATCGGGGGAGGTGCCCTCCCCAAAATGTGGGTGATGCCGCCTCGTTCGGCGGCGGAAATCCGCGATTTCCCATGGACCATGGAAGCGGGACCCGTAGCTAATCCACGCCCCCTTGATCCATGTTTGCGATCGCCTGACACTCGGGCGGGCCATCCTGCTGCCTGGCATAGGGTATACACCTCCTGGCCGAAGCCAAGAGATCTATGTGGCATGAAGCCAGCGGGTCCTGAAGGCAGCGGGTCCTGGACCCCCCCGGGGCCTCCCCCCACGCCCTCTCGTTCGACCCGAACGGTTTCTCGTGGTCACGGGACCCACAGACGCCCCCGGGAGCCCGGCCACGGTGAAAAGAACCATCGGGAATCTGCTGACCCAGGTCAATCCAGACCTGGGCCAGTCGGGCTTTGCAGGCAGGATCCTGCGGGATCCTGCAGGATCCTGCACCCAAGCCTGGGTCAGTGCACCCCTGGCCCTGCAGGATCCTGCAAGATCCGGCGCTCTGACTGACCCCGTTTGCACTGACCCCCGTGTGTATTGAGCCACGAGCCTCTTCAGGGTCGGCGGCACCGGCCGTGAAGGCATGGGCGATACATCTTGCTGGCGAACGAGCAACGGGGGCAGACGAGGCCGCGCAGCGCGCGTGAGTGGCGCCGCGGTTGGCGGTTCTGCAAAATGCCGCGGGCGCCGCGGCCTCCTGAGAGCGTTCCGGAACGCTCTGAGCGTGTTCCAGAACGCATTCCTCCACCGGTGCCTCCTCAGTCCTCCTCCTCCTCAGTCCTCCTCCTCCTCCTCCTTCTCCTCCTCCTCCTCCTCCTCCTCCTCCTCCTCCTCCTCCTCCTCAGTCCTCCTCCTCCTCCTCCTCCTCCTCCTCCCTCCTCCTCCTCAGGTCCTCCTCCTCCTCCTCGTCCTCCTCCTCCTCCTCCTCTCTCCTCCTCCTCCTCCTCCTCCTCCTCCTCCTCCTCTCCTCCTCAATCCTCCTCATCCTCCTCCTCCTCAATCCACCTCCTCATCAGTCCTCCTCCTCCTCCTCCTCCTCCTCCTCAGTCTACCTCCTCCTCCCCCCGCTCTCCTCCTCCTCGTCTCCTCCCTCCTCCTCCTCCTCCTCCTCCTCCCTCTCCTCAGTCCTCCTCCTCCTCCTCCTCCTCCTCCTCCTCCTCCTCTCTCCTCCTCCTCCTCCTCCTCCTCTCCTCCTCCCCCCCTCCTCCCTTATCCTCCTCCCCTCCTCCTCCCCCTCCTCCTCCTCCTCCTCCTCCTCCTCCTCCTCCTCCTCAGTCTACCTCCTCCTCCCCCTCCTCCCCCTTATCCTCCTCCTCTCATCCTCCTCCTCCTCCTCCCCCTCGTCCTCCTCTGGAGCGCTTATCCTCGTCCCCACCCCGTCGGAGCATCGATCTGCGGGCGAGCGAGCGGAGCGCTGGCTCTGGCGAGCGAACCTATCTCGGGCAGGCGCGGCGGCGCAGTCCGGCGCGCGGGGCAGGCAGACGCGCGCCGCGCGGCTCCTCTGCCAGGGCCCGGCTCTCGGCCTCTCGGGCCGCGGGGAGCTTGTCCACCGGCTGCCCCCCGCGCCTCCGTTCTCCCCCCACCTGCTCTCGCCGAGGCGCAGGAGGAGGAGGAGGAGGAGGAGGAGGAGGAGGAGGTGGTCCCCCCCCATTCATCCTCTATCGAGTCCCTCCGCCTCTGATCTCCCCCCACCTCCTCCTCCTGCAAAACCCCGAGGAGGGTTCTGCGCGGGAGCCTGGCGATAATGATAACGATAGGTCACCTTTATACTCCCGAACGGCAAAGCAGGTCTATGTAGCTTCGACCGTTAAACACTTGAGCCAAAGGCAGCAGGGTTGCTATTCCTCCCCTGTCACACGCACGCTTGCATGTTAACACCCCCCCTCGGACGCCAGTCCGCATTAGCTGACGGGGAGGTGCCTATAAACGCAAAGACAGGTTAAATCAAGCAACAGGCTGTATGGACATCGTTACATTACCGAATTCGAAATATCTCGTAACAACGCTCACGAGCACCACGTCTCTCAGACATGCAACGTGAGCTCAAGTAAACATTCAATCAGTTACGAGTTTAAATATAGCATCCAAAGTTCACACGGCAGGCTAGCATTTATCTGGTTTTGATTGCTTTCGCTTTTTATGCGCCAATACCTGCGGTAACTATAAAAGATGCACATGCAAATGGATTCAGCTCAATAGTCTACTGCAACGCTATTGTTAAGCCTGGTTGAGAGGGGAGATGAGAGAGAGCGTAAAAGAAAAGCATGCCGGTCACCTGTCACCGTTTACGAGCGGCGCGGGCGCCTCACTGACGGAGCACGCGCGCCCATGGACTTCGGTAAACCACGGTGCCCCACGCTGGCCGCCGTATAGGACGACACCCTGTTAAGAGCTTGCGTCGGGCTGTAATAGTCGGTGTCCAGGTACGCGTTAATGCGCTCCTCGTCGTCCAGCCAGCACACCTCGTCAAAGCTCTTGGTGGACCCGTCAACAATGTTGTGGTAAGTGCCGATGGCCCTCCAGTAACTGGCGTGGGGAGCCTTCAGCAGAGGTTTACCACCTGGATTGTTGCGGAGGTGCTCTTCGACCGCAACTCCGGTAAACGGGTTCACAGTCCAGGCCGGGTCGGTAAGCCAGTTGGGGAAGTCGTCGCACGGCAACCATCCAAACCAACAGAGCTTCTCGCGGTGGTCACTTTTACGCTCGGTGATGTGATCAGCAGGCCAGTTGTCACGGTAAAGTGCCCTCATGGACCCCTGATCGTTAAGAGCGACGTCTAGGATGGTCTGGTGCCAGTAAACCGGAGGCTTGTTGATGCTGCCCTTTAACTCCTCGGCGCTCCTGACCTCGAGATCCTCGATGAAGTAGTTGCGGTAATGCACCTGGAGCCCGTTCATGCAACGGCAATAGAGCTTGGCAAGGTCGTGCGTCGCGAACCTGATCACGGCAACCCCAGTTGAGATGTAACCGTGCGGTCCGTAAGTGTCTTCCACCAGGTGCTTAACTGAGACCACGGTGGGGTTGCCGTGGGGCAGCATCCCGGCCCACGTTAGCAGAAGGCCGTTAAGCTGCTTCTCGTTCATTTCTGGTGCCTTGTTGACGTAGACCTGTGTATCTGGGCAGCTGTGAACGTCGAACCACGCTGGGTGGAGATCGTTAACGTGGATCGGCGGCACGTACTCGTCGTCGAACAGGGATTGTACGTGCCCGACCGCGTCAACCCACTCGTCGTGCTTGGCCAGCTCCTTCTCCGTCAACTGAGATCTCCAGCTGCACGGGCCCTTCAACACTGAGTAACCGAGGAAGCCGTAAGCGTGCTGCCCGTAAATGTCGACGAACACCTCATCGTAGTCGTTAAGCTCCCGCCCCGTGTTGCCCTGAATAGACCGACCACCTGGAGTCGTTAACCCCTCTTTTGCCACATGTCCGACGAAGTTGCCTTCGAACCTGCGCCAGTTGTCGCGCGTCTTCATCGTTAACGCGACTACTTCCCTGGGGTCGGGCTCCACCTTGTAGTTGACGTCGTGGTCCTCGCTCCTGTCGTTCACCATGGGCACGCGGCCGTTGACGTGGTACAGTGGGCGGTACATGCCCCTGGCAACGTTCCGCGAGTATGCCGCAAGCCGCTCGTCCGTGCGGTTAACAGCTTGAGGCTGCGGTGGAGGAACGTGCTGGGTCGATAACTTCTTGGGCACCGGAGGCGGGGGATTCATGCCGCTAACACTGCTCGATGCACCTGACTCGCCAAGGCCTGGGGGAGGCGGCTTGGGCGCCCTCACGTTCACCACCGGGGCAGGACCTTTTGGTACTTCGTCACGTTGACTGCCCTGCGCACGATCACCATCCATCTTCATTCCCAGCTGCAGTAACTCCTCCAG